ATGGGGAGCAGGGAGGGGCAGAGGGAGAAGGAGAGAGTCCTCAAGCGGACTCCCTGCTGGGTGTAGAGCCCGTCGTGGGGCTCGATCCCAGGACCCCGGGATCTTGCCCTGAGCCGAAATCCAGAGTCGGCTGCTTAACCGACTGAACCACCCAGTCACCCCACAGATGGTCTCTTGAGAGCAGGTCTGGCCTGGGTGCCAGAGAAAGGGGACAGAGGTTGAGCTGGACCCCTCAGGTACCTTGTGAGCCGCTCAGATCTCCCAGCATCTGGGAGAACAGTGACACCTGCTGGCCGTCTGGGGAACAGCACCCATTTCTCCTGGCTTCTCCCCAGGAGGTGAAGATTGACAAGAACTTGGAGCCTGGACTTCGCGTGACAGTACAGCTGAACCAGAAGCAGCTCCCAGGTATCTGGAAACTTCCCAGCCTGGCCCAGCCGGAGGGCTTGGAACCGCCTCGGCCACCTCCTGTCCCTCGCCCCCTCTTCACAGCCTCCCTGCTTCTCTGCAGAAAGCAAGACCTACCGGGGAAAAGTCGTGTCATCGCAGGACCCTCGCACCAAAGCCGGTCTCTACTGGGGCTACACGGTCCGGCTGGCCTCCTGCCTCAGTAAGGACAGAGCTTCCTCCGATGAAGAGCTGGCCCCTCTCTGGGAGGCCGCAGAGAGCCTTGCTTGACCCAAAAGGCAGACCAGGGTCCTTGTCCTGCCACCTTACTGTGTGTCCTTAAGCAAATACCTTTCCTTCTCTGGGACTTGGTCTCCCTGACTGCGCTGCTGGGAACACTGTAAAGGACTTCTGAGGAAGAGGATCGCAATTCATTAGTAACGTCTGCCGTGGGGTTGGGAATAGGACAAAAGGACCAGATAGGTCTAGGGTGCACTATGAATTCTCAGAGCTCCTTCCTACCCGCCTTCAGCTTTGCGTCCCCAGTCTCGCATAGGTGTGGTTTCTCCCTGCTGAGTCCCGGACTTCCCAGGAATGGTGGGTGTGTGTAGCTGGGTGTGACTCCCTTACCTGAGTCCCCTTTTCCAGCCCTTCTCCCCCCCACCCCCATATGCAGACACACATAGCCAAGTGGCTCTGGCATTGGAACGGGACCCCCAGGGAACTGGTCTCTTGCCCAGGTGCTGTGTTTGCTGAGGCCCCCTTCCAGGACGGGTATGACCTGACCATTGGGACATCAGAGAGAGGCTCGGATGTGACCTCCGCCCAGCTGCCCAGCTTCAGGTGGGTACAGCCTGGGGCAGGGGCAGGGGCTGGGGAAGGGGAAGTGGAGCCGGAAACCTGTTTGGTGGAGGCAGAGCTATACAGACTGGGCCCCTAACTGTGTCCCGGGAGTGGGGGGCTGAGAGCTCTGGGAAGCTGCATTCAGTGTGGCCTTAGTGAGCAGGGACTGAACCTCTCCTGTGGGTGCCAGGCATGCTCTCGTGGTGTTTGGGGGCCTTCAGGGGCTGGAAGCTGGAGTGGATGCTGACCCCAACCTAGAGGTGGCCGAACCCAGTGTCCTCTTCGATCTGTACGTCAATACCTGCCCTAGCCAGGGCAGCCGCACCATCCGCACCGAGGTGAGCCTGCCTGCCTCCCGCCTGCAGCCCCCAGGCTGTTCTCAAGGTTCTACTGCCAGCCAGGGGTCTGTCCAAGTGGGGTGCAGCTCTGCCCAAGGCTGTCTCAAGCCAGCCTTCACTGGAGATGGTTTCCTAACGGCCTCGGCCTCTCACCACCATGAATTCCAGCAGGGACAGAGTAGGAGTGAGCTGGGAGTCGAGAATCCTGGGTGCTGGTGCCCATCCAGCTGTTCCCAGGCTGGGTAACTCAGGAGACCCTGGCCATCCCAGCTCTGGGCCTCAGTTTCCCCAGCCGTACGCTCAGTGATCCACTTCCTCCACGTGACCGTGGTGGGCGTGGCAGCCCTCCCCACTGGGCTTCAGTGGCACCTCAGTCCTGTGGGGGGCAGTATGCAGCCAGCTCTGGGAGCCTCAGTCCTGTGCACCCATGGGACCGGTGGACCCACTTCTGAGGTCCGCACACTCGAGGCACTTGGCGTCCAGTAGTCTCAAAGGGTGGTGACTACACAGGTGGGCAGCTCCAGTCTGTCCCTGAGGGCCCTCCAGGGGCCACACCCTCCCAGCAGGAAGCCCTGCACCCACCCTGTCCTGGGAGCTGAGAACACCCCTTAAGGAGCAGAGAGGCAAGGGCATGCAGCCAGCCTGTGGCAGATCGGTAGGATGGGGCTGAGCCTGTTCTTAACATCCTGGGGGCCCTGCGGAGGGCAGCAAGCCCCGGGGCCGGAGGTGGGGGGTGGGTCCGGGCGGTCGAGCCCTGTGAGGCTGGGAGCTGGGCACCCGCCAGCCTCCCAGGCCCCAGCCCACGGCCGCACTTTCCCTCCAGGAGGCCATCCTCATCTCCCTGGCCGCCCTGCAGCCTGGCCTCACCCAGGCGGGTGCCCGGCCCAGCTGAAGGTTCCGGCAGGCCGAAGACTGCGAAGCAGCGGCAGGGAAGCCAGAGGCTCCTGAGGGGCCCCTGGGACAGACACAGCCAGGACTTCTGTCTCCAAAGATCACCACCTTTAATGCGACCCAGCCCCCACAGTCCGGCAGGGTACGGCCTTCACGTGGAGCCTGCAGTGATGGCCTTGAGGCTGCCTGCCCGCGCCAGAATATTTGGCACAAAGAGCAGCCCCGAGGCCCGCTCGATGCTCTCGATGGGCACCAGGAAGCGCTCCAGCGGGACCACCTCGTCCACAGGAGCGTTGGGCATCACATAGGAGCGGAGTTCGATTTGCCCGCCTGCTGCCTCCAGGATCAGCACCTTGAAGAAGTGGGTGGGCACCGCCACGTGGTTCTTGCCGATGACCTGGTACTTCACATAGGACTTGCCGTCAGCCTCCGTCCTGCGGGCAGACCCGGGCGCACGAGGCCTTTCAGAGCTCCCGAGGGTCTGCTCGGACCCGAGGCTGCTCCTCCGAGAAGCCTTCCCCGGCCTGACTTCCACCTTGTGTCAGCCTGTAGGACCGCCCCCTCAGCGGGAGGCTTCTGTGCCCTTCTTGGCTCCCCCAGGAGGCTGGGGGCTCCCTGCAGGGTAGACGCTCCCTTACCCTGTTTCCCTCAGGCCCAGCACTGGGTCAGGCAGGGTGGGTGGTGGCAATAAATGCGGCTGAGAGAATCCGGCCTTGTGGGCATTCACCTTCATTCGTGCAGACCCGAGACTACCGCCTACCTCCCCCGTGGAGGGTGAGCACCACGTGGGCGAGGGCCTGGGGCCCAGAACACGGGATGGAGGACTTCGGTCTTCCCCTCGGCGGGGCCTACTCCATTCCAGCAGGCCATAGGAGGCACCTGCTAGTCATCCATGCCTCCTCGGCCAGCCCATGCTGAGCGCTTACTACAGTGGACCTCCACCACCCGCCTTTCACCCTGAAGCAACCGCGAGGTAGGAAATGGCTATTATCCCCACTTTACAGGAGAGGATATTGAGGTCATTTGCCCATGGCACCCAGAGACCAGGTGATAGGGCCTGGGTTCCCTCTGGGGCCTGTGGACTCCAGAGCCAGTGGCTTCCCCACAACCCTTCACCTCCCCAATCTGTCTTCAGTGGGCCGGAAAATTCACTGAGCATGCCCAGGGGAGCTCAGTCCCTTCTACCTGGGAGGCAGGGCTGCAGAGGGACAAGAGTGAAGGCTCAGGATCGGGGAGATGGAGGTCAAACCCTGGCTCCAGAGGGTGAGGAGGGTTGCTCCAAGCAGAGGAAACTGAAAGCAAGAGCCTGGTGCAAGGCTTTCTATCTGAACAGAAAGGGAGTCGGGCACATGGCAAGAGGTGAGGAGAGAGATGGGCGCCTGGGTGGCTCAGTTGGTTAAGCGACTGCCTTCGGCTCAGGTCATGATCCTGGAGTCCCGGGATCGAGTCCCGCATCG